TATTATTTCTAAAAAATGAAAATTATTATGTTTAAAAAAACCAAAATAGCTCTAGGGACCAATCGGTCACTAGTAGCATTACTCCTTTTTGTGTCTTTCAATTTCTCGTATACCACCACCTAGAAGACAAAATTACCGCCTATAAAATAAAAGAATACGAAAGGTATTTTAGAGATCAAGCTGCAATTTTATATTTTTAATGAAATTATTTTTTATATTATATATATATATATATTTTTGAACATTTTATCATGAGTAAACTCGAATCGTTGCCATTGAAAAGAGGGTATGAACCTTATAAGAAGAGAGCAGAGAAAGCACTCCATAGCAAACAACTACAACAAACGTGATGATGACAGACGCTGTGGCCCTGTGACAGAATCTCCCAAACGATCCACAAGCTGCACTCCAGGTGATTGACACGTCTCCCTCGTAGGCCAAGCACAGCACCTCCGTGGACGCAGCACCCGCAGCCAGAATTAAGTAAGTAAAAATCTGGATTATGAGAAAGTAGATTGAAGATTTGGGATTTTAAGGTTGAGTTTTTTAAGTTAAAAGTGTTGTGTTCAAATTGTTTGAAGTGAAATTGACCTGATCAAGGAAGAAGAATGTCCAAGCTCGAGATATGGCGGGGCGAGGTAAGGCTAGAATGACAGCTGAAAGGAGAGAGTAGCCAGCACAAATGCTATTTGCATGCACTAAATATCTGTAAAGATGCAAATTAATAAGTAGTGAAGTTTTAAGGCACTTGCTCGTCTTCAAGAGAAGAGTTCAAATCCTCTGCTCCCGACATACATAAAAAAATGAATTCCCCTTGAATCTACTTATAAATCATAAAATTTATAAGAAAAATCTGCCAATATTCATTTGTGAATATAGCTTCTGCAATATCTAAGTACTAACTTCCATCTTTGCCTATACAAAGAAAGAAAGAAACTGCAGGCCCTTGCTAGAAATTGCTGGTTCGCATGCATACAAGAATGTGGACGGTTTTTCCAAATCTGAATCTTTATTTTCTGGGGATTTCTACCTAGCTTTCGTTTAAGCTTAATCTAAACCTTCCCTTAAGGAAGGGATGAAATTAAGCTCAATTCAAAAGAATCAGATGCATATTTAATCAGGAAATAGATATGTGAGAGGCTGGAGTACCTGAAAGCCCCAAGATCTGAGTAGGACAGTGAACCAAAGTCAGTATTGGACTGAGAGTTCTTCACCATAACAATGAGCGCAGAGAGACACAGAGCCATCAGCACCAGACGCAGCAACGTCTCTGCTGTCTGCATGCCGGCGTCCATCTCATTATCATCTCTCGATCCCACCAGTGCTGCCGGAGAGGCCACCACAGCTCCACTGACACTTTCCTTTTCTTTCTTCTCCATCATCTCTATCCTATCTGATCTTATCTTTCCTTCTTTTACCCGAGTTTGCTGTTGACTCTTGAGCAAGAGTTCTCCTATCGGTAGGGTTGCAGTTTGCTAGCTAATTATTAAAGAATGTAGGTATAGTGGATGGTGATAGCATTGAATAGCATTCATGGCAGCCACATTTTCCTTAAGCTCTGATGATGGTTAGTTGACAAGGTTTTTTTCTCTAATCCAACTCTCTTGCTTGCGTTGCCTCAATTTTTAACTTATAACTTTCTACCAAGTTTTTATCTAGGTCAATTGTCGATGCTACGCGAATCAAGAAATTGTTATGAAAAAGAAATATGCTCCACCACATGTTTCTTTTTCTTAACAAGAAAGTGTCCTAAATAAAAGTAGTATCAACTGTAGAATATGAACCATTAGATAGGTTTAAGAGTACGAGCGAACTACAAAACACTGGACCGATTGATAAACACATAAACCCAATTAGAAAAATCATTGGTCTTAGCATTACATGAAACAATACATCCACATTTGAACAAAAATGTAGAATCCAAGTTCAGTTACAAACATAATTATAATACCGAAAAGACTGATGCTCAATCAAAACTCATCATAAGGCGAGTTGAATATCACCCAAGTCAAGCTGGGACGCAATTTCCTGCAACTGTGTCTTGATGCTCATATCAATCAATTTGGACCCAGAATTCCCATACCTGATTGTAAATCCAGCAACCAAACTTGGATCAATCACGTTCTTGATCCTCACATTCTTGGCCCCACTCAGCTTCTGCACCTGTTTTGCAATCTGGGCCAGGTGGTCCGGCTGAAGCTTAATCACCGAGCTTACCACAGCCAGCTCTGTATTCGTCAGATTGTTGTAAACCGTCTCAAATTCCTTGATGATATCTATGATTGTGTCGATCCTCTGCGAGTCCACCAAGATGTTGATGAAATTGGCAACGTGGGGCTGGAGGGCGTAGGACTTGACAATTTCGTCGAGCACCTGGCGTTTCTTCTCGGTGTCGATGATGGGGCTGGCGAAGAAGTTGAGGACATCGGGGTCGGAGAAGACCTTCTCAACTTTCTCAACGTCGACGATGGTGGTGTCGAGGGTATTGTTGGACTGGGCGAGATCGGCGAGGGCGGAGGCGTAGCTGGAAGCAACGGTGGCGGACATCCTGGGGCCGCCGCGGGAGCGGACGGAGGAAGGGAGTTTAAGGGAAGGGATGGTGGCGGAGAAGGAGAGGTTGAGGGAGGGAAGAGGTCTGAGGGATCGTGAGGCGTATGGGAGGTTGGATTGGAGGGAGACTGCTGATTGCCGAAGCGCGGCCATTTCTGTAGAGGTTAGAGCTCGGCTTGGGTATGGTGGGAGTGAAGGGGATTTTGACGATGGGTGGAGAAAGGGCGGATTATCCTCTTTTTGGATTTTGGAAAACGATAGCCACTAATGTTCTACCACGATGATGGTACTGTTAGTCCACAAATTGGGCATCCTATTATTGAAATTATTTATTTATTTATTGTTAAAATGTTCTCAAAATCTACTTTCTATCCCTCTCAGCCAATCTTAGAACTTTAAATCAAAGGACAGAGAAAAAGGGGACATTTTAAATTAACAAAATAACAAGTTAATACTAACCTAAACAAAAGATCCAATACAACAACGTTTCAACCGTGTTCAAAAAAAGGATCCAATACAACAATGGGCACATCTAAGTAGCCACACCCACACACATCAAACAGGTACGAACCGCAATGCAATCCAACAGCCACAAAGGCACAACCAAGTGCCCTCTTGGCCTTTTTATTTACCAACAGAAACACAGAAAATGGAGCCATAAACACAAACTAGCATGCTTCTGTTTGACTACTTGTCATCCCATTTTACTCAATCCCAATCCTTTTCTTCATCTCCAAAGAGAATCAGTACACCTTTTCATGGTCGAGAAGAGACTTAGAGACACTCTCTCTGCATGCATCTCTTGCCCCATGCAATCATCTTGGGACACTCTGCCTCGATGCTGAAGTTGCCACACCGCTCATAGGGATGGAACCAGCTATAGAATGGAACCAAGACAAAATCAACATATCCCAGGTTCGATCCACCGAAATAATGCTTGTCTCCAAGCTCTGCTTCCAGCACCTTAAGGCATTCGATTAATTATATTCCTGCTTGGCTGCCTCTTGCTCCTCCCCTTTGCGCATCCACATTTTCAGCCCAAGATCGTAAATCTTTATTCCAGGATAAGCTACCTAGAAACCATAACTTCTAAAAGGTCAAAATTAACCATCAAGAAAATTACGGTTTAACATTTAGAAGTGGACAAAGATTCATGCAGAAAATCAATTGCACTTGTAGTACTAAAAAAGGATATAGGCATATGAAAGTTGAACCATGACATAGCCTGAGATCTTTGACCTGTTGGCAAAGATCAAGCCCTACAACTTAAAAGTTGTTGTGTCTTATGCGGGTTTTAGTCCTACTTTA